GATTACTTTGCATGCACACTTTTCTTCTTCTTCAGTATCGATTCAGACTTGCTTATATGTGACTGTCTAATAAGACAAATGCTGACTTCAGTAGAGTTCTTATTAAACAGTTTATTGGTATGTAGACTCATAACTTTGAGATTTACTGGTACATTAAGAAATAGTTCAGCAAAAAAAAAAAAAAGGTCAGTTGTTCACCCTCATGTTGTTCCAAACCCATGACTGACTTTCTTCAGTGTAACACAAAATGAGAGGTTTTGAAGAATGTTCAAGCCACTCTTTGTCTTTGAATAAACGTGAATGGGGACCAAGGACTGTCAGCTACAAAGAGGAAGAAAACTTTGCAGAGTTATGCACTATTTATACACTGCATTCCAAGTCATCTAAAGTCATACAATAACAGTGTGAAGAACAGAATGAAATGCATTATTCACTGAAAAACTTGCTTGACAGCTGTTCTTTTCCATACACTGAAAGTGAATAGTGACAGAGAAAAGTGAATGAGAACAGTTTTTTTGTGTGATAACAGCAGGATTTTGTACGTGCTATAAATACATCCTTTTTATTCCACAGAAGAAAGAAATTCATATAGGTTTCAGAAATATCCCTTTTGTGTGAATCTTTTCTTTTGAAGCACCTGTAAAGATTTTTTTTATTGTCCAAACAAAAAATGTTGGTAAGGCATGACAAATGATGTATCATTTTATAACAAATTTACATACTACAAACCAACACATTTAGTGTTTTATTAGCTATATTCATGTAGCCAATTATGCTAAATTATGGTGAAATAAATTATTAAAAAGACATCTTTATTAAAAACTGTCAAATTTAAAGAAAGGTCAAACATGAATCAAGAACATGCATATAGAAACTAGATATGGTGAATTTTCATTTCATGCTTACTTAGCCGACATTTAAAATGAAAACGCAGAAATTCCATCAAAATACCCTTTCTGAAAGTCATCATAAAATTTGCACTCTGCCGAATGTTGCTGTGAAGAACTATAAGATACTTTATTTTAATACACTTTCAGAAGTATAGGTGTTTGTTCAGACCTCAGAACAAGAACTTCCGACATTGCACGAGAAACACATCTTTTCTCTGTTTAGTGACCAAAATAAGTAGAGAACAGCTCAGCAGGCATGACTCCATCTGGAAATGTGTTTGTTATGAATGAGTTCTTTTGTCCTGTGTCAGTGAATTCTCTGTTCTATTGCCATTTCTGATGTACTCATTCAAATGCTAATGTGGTGTAGGTGCTGAAGAGCTGGTAATTCAGGCAAGTAGCGCAGCTGCATAAGTGGAATTTTGTTTGGGCTGTTGTGTTGTGTGGGGGCGGCAGGTAACGGGCATGTCATCTGATACCTCAGTTGCTCAAAATGTCTGTTTGCTGCCTTGTCATAACTCTCCAGGTTAATCAATAATTCACAGATTGACATGTTTTGTGGCTGCCTGGCTCTCTTCTTCTGCTGCAGGGGCCCCTGGTTCTCAGCTCCGACTCTCACCCAAATCAGTCATGGTGTATTCATTTTGGTCTTTCCAATTTCTCAATAAGAGGAAAACCCTGTATTGTATTATTCATGAGGTATGAATTCCGTTAGTACCTCTCTGTGTACAGCTTAAATAATAACCCACTTAAAGTTAGCACTGCCATTGAAGGCATGAAGATGTGGTTTAGGGTGCTGTAGGCCGATCTATTGAACAGATAAAATCAAGTCATCTCAAAGGAAAGAGTCTTTGTAGTTTTAGAAAAAAAAAAAAAGATTAAAAGTTTCTCTTTTGTAGTGATTTCCCAACAAGGGGTGTACTCTTGTAATATTTGATTCTTCTACATTGACTTAATCATGTCTCTTTCTTTTTTCTTTTTGGGTCTGTTTAATGTAAATGATGCATACTGTACTTATGTAAATGGTTTTGCTTCAGGACCCGCATTTTACAATGGCGACCCAACACATGACTAAAAGCAATGATAACCTGGTCTTTCAGTGAGTCACATCTTGATTAATTAAACACTCAACTGAAATGATTTCTCAAAATGGCACTTTTGAGTTTTTGGGTGGTTTTAGTGTTTCATTAAAAGAAAACGGCTCATTTGCTTGTGAATTAGGTTATGCCGTATGTTTGTATTTATGTGTCTGTAGATATTTATAGTTCTGTCATGACAACTCTCTGAAGATTTTTCCATGGTAATGGATATGACAATGTTAATGTATTTAGTCTGGGCGGAATAGATCTGCTACGTTGCTGCTAAATTGCTGCTGGTTATTGCTGTTGTTGTAGATTATTGCTGCTGCTGCATAGGAAGTACAAGTACTTGCTATTTTAAAATACATATGCCGATACGCTCCTGTGAGTATTTAAGACATACTGCTGCTGCACAAGTAGCATACTGTATATAGTAACCCAAAGCACATATACAGGTAGAGCTGGGGAAGGTGGAGCTGGAATCATTGGCTGCATATGCAACATGAACCAATCAGCTTTAATGCTTGTGCCAGTTAGTTTGCCTTAAGGACCCATCAGCTTGCGCCATCTAGAGTTTCATGATAGAACTTGGTATATATCTAATATCCATGGAGATAAAATGTGTTCTTGCCATTATTTTGCAGTTCGCAGTCTTTTTAAACCAATCACATTCAATTCAGGTTGCAAACTCACTTTTTCATAAACACTTTTTACCAAATCAAGTTCTTCACCCAACTAACAGAAAGCTCCCCCACTTGCTGCCTGTATCAACACTGATCAAATTAAGTATAGTACTGTCATTTCATGATATTACAAAAGTACACCTAAACAATATATGAGAAAAAAATCATTCAAATCAAAAGACATTCTTTTTAAAAGCTGAGCCTCTTGTAAATCATTTATTCATACACTGACTGCCCTATTGAATTCTATTCATTATCTCAAAACAAAACCCAAAACTTTTAAGTTGAGTCTGGTCTTAAGAAGTATACTTCAGAAAGGGTTCTTCAGAAACATATATACAACTACCCAATTGTATTGGTATGGGTTGCCATAAGTGAGAGTCCAAGGATGCAGCTCTAGACCTTAATACACATAAGCGGAGTACAAATAATAAAACTTACAGAGCCTAGTGTTGTGATCCCAGTAATAGGCTTACATCAAAGAGAAGAGTGCTTACTAGAGTAGGCAGGGGAGGGAGGAAATGGCGGCTAGGTATCGGTCTCCTCACACTTTTGCCCTTTTCATCCTTTTAACGGCTATCATTTCTCCACATGGGACTTGTCAATTTCCTCGAAGAGTTATAATTGCTTTCCTTGCTGTTGTACTACAGCCTTATGCTGTGTTATCGTGGGCCAGAGCTGTAGCGATGAGTGAGATTACTTTATTGATCTCCACGTCTTTGACAATTTTACCCCTCAGACTGCATGGCTCAGGCAGTTAGCGCACTTCATAAGCACTGGTTACCTTCCCATATCAGATTTTTTTTTTCTGAGCAATGCTCTTTGGTATTCAAAGCACTGAAAAATCCTTCCTGCAACCTCGGCAATGTAGGACACTTCCATAACTTGCAAAAAGTGGACAGAAAAAAGGTAAAGTTTAATATATTAAGGGTTCACCTTGGAATTTCTTATCAAGAAGGCACTTTATGGCATAAGAATTATGCATCTAAAATACAAATATGTATGGGTAAACTCAAATTATAATGTTGATTTCATAATACTATGTTTCTGAAGGATGTAGAATTCATGGTTAAAAATCTATGCTGCTGATCTGCTGAATTTTATAACTCAGTTCTTAGCTAATCTCTAAGCTGTTGACTATGTAAACAGTTCGTGAACTTGCCAATCATATATGCTCTATTTTCTTTTGCTTGTTAGGCATCCTCAAAAGCCAAGTGTTTGTAGATTACACATTTCTTATGTAATTCTCAGGCTGCCCTCGTTGTTGTCGGCTTATGTTTTCTCAAAATTTGAGTTTTACAAGAATCAATGTTTTAAAACTTGAAGAAATCCATGGCAGTTCTTATTTTTTTACATAGCTGACCATGCACAATATGCGGATGCCATGTCAACATCTGGAATCATTTGATTTTTTTTTTAAATCAGCAAACTGCAAAAGATCCAGAATAAATTAGTCTACTTTCTGACTTGAGACAGCCAAGCTCTCATCATTTATGAGTTGCTTGGAAACAAAAAAAAACTGAACAAACAGTTTCTGTAAGTCACAGCCATAGAAAAGATCGGCTAGTGGATGTGTTATCCGCCTTTTTTTACATTCTCCTGAGCTCTGTTACCTCGACAACCAGGCCTCTGTAAAGCTTTGAGAGATTGCAGCATGATCCAATTAAGGTACATGTCCTCACACGCTGCACTGCAAACCATCTCGTGGGCCAATGATAATTACCCTGGGGGCCCTGCAATTCCAATAACCTTTTTCAGTCCTTACCAGGCAGACAGCAGCTTCCCCTCAGTAACTTCCTGTCAGCATGTGCCCCTGGGTTCAGGGCATTCACCGTTGCAAGGCATTCCACCGGAACTGTTTATTGATGGAAACCCTGATGCTCAGCAGAGACTGGGATGTAGATCAATATGCTAAGTTTATTTATTTGACTGTATTTACAGCTGTCTTTCCGCTGTTTGTTGCGCATTACAGTGTGTGTTTTTTTTTTTGTGGATGCACTAAGTTTGAAAAAATATTAGTTAAAGCCTTAATTATACATCAGTTCTAAGTTATATTTTGCTTTGAGTGAGCCCAGCAGCTCTGTGGGAATTTATCAGTGATTCTTTCTGCCAGTTACATAGTTACACCAATAGGTGGCGACAAGTTAATGTCTTATGAGTGAGTCATTGACTCATTTATTAAAATGATTAGTTCAAACAAGGAACAAACAAACGATTTGTTCAACAACACAAATTCATGCAGGAACCAAACAAGTGGCTGTCTTGAGTGATTAATTGAATCATTAATTGAAAAGATTTGTTCACCAACACTAATACATTCAGGAAGTAAACGCCACTTGCTGAGAGATGCTCAATTATGCCGTGGCTTTGTTTGGAAAAACGAGGGCCAAGCAGGCAATATACCAAGAAACTGGCAATACTTTGTCTAAAATGTAAGGTACCCAATATTGACATTTTGTTTAGTGAACTGTTTTATATAAGCAATATCACACTCACCGACCTTGTCACCATGTATAGTGTGTGTGAATTTTGTGTATTGTCTTCTAGTGTTACATTAAGATGATTCATAATATTTTCGCTGGTGGGACAGGTACTTGTAGGTATATTGTTTGCTAACTATATTGATATTTATGATGCTTTGTTTAATTGAGTCTCTTTTACAGTTATCATACTGCACTTATTTACAGTTGAGAAAAACAATTAAATTAATTAATCTTTTATTGATTGATTGATTCATTCTTTTATTCATTCAAAAATGAGGAAAACGTGTGTTGCACCAATAAGGATTAATCTTAAATCTAAATTAAATCAAGGTTTATCTAGTAATTCTGTTGCGCCAAACTTTAAACCTTGTTTAAAAATAAGCAGGTTTACATTTAAACCATCATCTTGATCCTGGATTTAATTTATATTTAAAATAGATTAACTTTAATCCTGTTGCTCCGTAATTTTAAACTCGGATTTAAATCTCAATTAGGGATTGATTTTAAATTTACAGGTGAGGAGGTTTAGATGAAATAAAGTGCACCTACAATTACAATTATGTGGCTGATTAAACAAAGAAAACAACAGAGGGTGTGTCGTGAGGTCTCGGAGAGGAGTTTATTACGAATATAAATGAAGATTCAGCGCACTGAAAGAGCAATTTTCCATACTAAAAGAGCTTCACGGGTGGAACGTCTTTTTGAAGACGCGTCTTTTTAAAGATGTCTTACCACCCGTGTGTTTCTGGGTGCGGTCGTTACCTGGCGCCGGGTGATGGTCACGATCGCTGCCTCTCGTGCCTAGGCGTGAAACACGCTGAGGCGGCTTTCGTGGATGACTCATGCTCCTATTGCGGGGGTATGACCATCTCGGAGTTGCGGACCAGACTCTGTTACCTGCAAGTGGGCGGAGTGTCCGTGCCACTGCCTAGATCTGGGGTTTCCTCTGGTGGCAGCCGGGGGTACCCTTTTTCTGGCAGTGGGCGGACTGGTCTCACGGTCACGGTGAGGAATTCCCCTCCTACAAGGAAGGGGATGCCCGAACCAGCGACCAGCGACTGGTTTCTCGGGGTGGCCCGCGCTGGTTCTCAGGGCCCCACCCCAGTGCCTTTCTTCCCGGAGGTGCATGATGAGATCACTGGGTCATGGACGGCACCTTTTACTACCAGAAACCGCCCCGGTGGCTCATCCTCCCTCACCACCCTTGATGGGAGTCCAGCGAGGGGGTATATGGGAGTTCCCCAGGTGGAGCGGTCTGTTGCGATGCAATTGTGTCTAAATGCCGCTACCACTTGGTGGGGCAAACCGTTGCTCCCCTCCCGAGCCTGTTGGCACTCGTCGGCTCTGATCGGCAGTGCGTATACGGCTTGTGGAGAAGCTGCGTCCACCTTACACACTTCGGCGTTGCTGCAAGTACACCAGGCCAAGGCACTGAGGAACTTGCACGAGGGTGGTGATGACCCGGAAGTTCTCGCGGAGCTCCGCACCGCGACGGACCTCGCGCTACGAGTGACGAAGGTTACGGCGCGGTCTCTGGGTTGTGCGATGTCCACTATGGTGGTCCAGGAGCGCCATCTCTGGCTGTGTCTGGCCGACATGCGCGAGGCGGACAAGGCACGTTTCCTAAACGCCCCTGTGTCCCAGACCGGCCTGTTCGGCGACACAGTGGAGAACTTCGCCCAGCAGTTCTCTGCTGCCCAAAAGCAGACTGAGGTCATCAAACACATCCTGCCCCGGCGTGCAGCTGCTGCCTCCACCCGGCCGCTGGTGGCAGCGCCCCAGCCTGCCCCGGCCGCCGCCCCCGCTCCCGCACAGCATTCGCAGCAGCCTCCAGCAAAGATGCGCTGTGGAGCTGGTCGCAGGGCAGCCGCCCCGCCCGTCCAGGCCCCTGCCAGACCTGGCGGTAAGCGAAAGAGCAAGCGGCCCTGAGACGAGCGACCCAGAGATGGAGGAAGTTGCTCTTCAGGAGGTGGTGAAGGCACCACTCCCTCCCCCGGAGGAGGGCCGGGCGGAGAATCTTTTGTTTCCTTTTTTGTGGACGATCCAGAGCCGTATCACACTCACCCTTCTCTCTTGCCAGTGAGCAGCAGCGGGCGGATCGGGAGGACAAACCAACGGACTACCCACGTACCCTCTGCTCAAACGCAGGTCAGTGTTACACACACCCAGACCCCGCCTCGGACCGGCAAAGAGACGCCTGGGCTGGGTCCCTGCGTTCTTCCGCACTGTCCCACTGCGGGTACGCCTGTAGTTCCGTTGATGCCACTTGTGCGGTGTCTGAGAGCCTGGCTAGAGCTAACCAGCCTGTCTCGATGGCTCCGTCGAACCGTCAGGCTCGGCTACGCGATTCAGTTCGCCCGGCGCCCTCCCAGGTTCAGGGGCGTCCACTTTACGTCAGTGAAAGCAGCAGATGCCCCTGTCTTGCGTGCAGAGATCGCAGTCCTACTGGCGAAGGACGTGATAGAGCCGGTTCCTCCAGCCGATATGAAGTCGGGGTTTTACAGCCCTTAATTCATTGTACCCAAGAAAGGAGGTGGGTTGAGACGTATCTTGGACCTGCGCGTTGTGAACCGGGACCTTCACAGGCTCCCGTTCAAGATGCTCACGCAGAAATGCATCTTCAGGTGTATCCGTCCCCAAGATTGGTTCGCAGCGATTGACCTGAAGGACGCGTACTTCCATGTTTCGATCCTTCCGCGCCACAGGCCATTCGTTCGAGGGGTGGGCATACCAGTACAAGGTCCTGCCCTTCGGGCTGTCCCTGTCGCCCGTGTCTTTACGAAAGTTACGGAGGCAGCCCTTGTTCCCATGAGAGAACAGGACATTCGCATTCTCAACTACCTCAATGATTGGCTCATACTCGCTCAGTCTCAGGATTAGTTGTGCGAGCACAGGGACTTGGTGCTTTCACACCTCAGCCTGTTGGGCCTTCGGGTGGGCGTGGCAAAGCGGCACCTTCCGGGTCCAAGTGACACCGGCCTGCCGACAAACCTTCACCCCGTGGTCAGACCTTGCGTTCCTCCGGGCAGGAGTGCCCCTGGAGCAGGTCTCCAGGCATGCTGTGGTTTGCACGGATGCCTCAACCACCGGCTGGGGGGCCACGTACAACGGGCTTGCAGTGTCAGGGGTTTGGACGGGGCCCCAACTGCACTGGCACATCAACTGCCTCGAGTTGCT